ACTTGTTCATTTAAAGTAGCCATTAAATAATAGATAGAAAAGTTGTGGAGTGGGGGCTCGCCACCTCATAACTATGTAGAAAATGTACAAAAGCGTGACGTCATTTCAACTGAATTTATCGCCATAATTTATTGATAATGCAAAAAAAAATAAAATATGTTGTACAGTTTTCTTCAATGCAAAAATTAAGTATAGGATTTGAGAATTTTCTATATTGTATATACATATGGTTTTGGTACGGTAGGTAATTGCACAAATTAATTCGCTCCACTAAGTAAATAATTAGCATGATTAAATATTTCTTTCTTATCTTAAATTTAAATAAAAGTAATTCGCGAATGTGCACTCAGCCGCACGTCTGACTATACATTGTGGACTAGGTACCAACCGTGCTTCGTATAGAATTTCTTTACTAACAGAGGTCTGTTTACAGTGGCGGTGAGTAGAGACACGTGCGGACGTGCGGTACATAACATATTGTAGGTGGTCTACCTAATTAAATATACTTCACGCATTTTAAATTTAACTTAGTATAATAAATATGTATCACATAATTACGCAGACATTTTGGAAGGCGTGTATATTTAAAAAAAGCCAAGAGCGAGCACGACTTGCACACGAAGGGTGCCGTACTATTATTGTCTATAAAAATGTCAAAATAATCATTTCTGTTGTATGGAGGCAGTCTTATTTATACACAGAGATGTACGAAATACCCTGTACAAAGTATTTGGAATACAAAATACTTTTAAATTAAGTATTTCAGATACCAGATACAAAAAAATACTTTTGAGAAAAGTATTTGAAATACTAGATATACGTATCTTATAAAACTTTTTATAAGTACAAATACTTTTTAAGAAAACAACTGAGCGAGTAACAAATTAAATGTTTTGTTTTGTTTGTCAATCACAATGTAACATATAAATGATCGGGTTTAAATTATTTTTAACTTTTCAGTTATTTTTTATTAATAGGTTTTTTCAGTATAGCACTTTGAATGAAAAATTGGTCAAATATAATAACAAGAATAACTATTATATTTAAAGAGCTGGCTTACTCAAGTTACACTCAAAACTAAAAATGAGCCACCATCTCAGTGTTGACAACTTGAATTTTCAAAAAGACGGAGACCAGATAAGTAAATTACGGAGAACTGGTAAAATTTCCGTAAAAAAGTATCATTTTTTCCTAGATGGATAGAGTGAGTAAAAGTTAATACAGTAATTGGTTTTTTTAATTAATGGCGTGACTTATGGCGAGGTGAGCGGTGGATGTAACGGGACGTTTATTAACTTTTTTTTGAAGAGCTACCCGAAATTATGCCCCTTTAGTATGTTAATTTGAAAATTTTTGATAGACCATACTTAGCTTCTGATTTATAGTACGTAGGTTTGCAGTAAAGCCGTAGTAAATACGTAGATCTAATTAAAAAAGACGTAGAGTTGGTACTACTAATAATGTTGGTAATACGCCATTAGTTAACATCTGACCGGATAAATCTTGTCTCGACCGGATTTGAAGTATTAGGTCTTTATCTATGAAATTGCCGTTTTTCATAAAATAAATGAAGCGAATTTTTTTTTTATATTTAGTACTTCTATTAATCAAAGTAATCATCCATGCAATCAATGCATCTTTGCCAACGCATTGACAGCTTATTGATACCCTTCTTGAAGAAGTCAGCTGGACGGGAGGCAACAAATTTTTCAAAGACATGTTATGCTGCCTCTCGGGTATTGATTTTTTTCCCGCCAAGAAGTTATCCACATTCTGGAAAAAGTCTGTAGGCGCAAGGTCTGGTAAGTACGGCCGATGACGGAGAATTTCAAACCCCAGCTCTTGTAGCTTGGAGACCATCTGATGTGCACTATGAGGTCGCACGTATTTGTGCAGGAGCAGTGGAAGCGAACGATTGACAAAAGCTGGTTGGAATCGTGCGAGCTTCTCAGTTATTGTGTTCAGTTCTTCACAATACACATCTGCAGTAATGCTCGTCCTTTTTGGTAAGAAGCTGTAATGAATTACATCCGCGTAAGACCACCAAACATTAACCATCACTTTTATAGGGGTAAGTTTTCGTTTAGGGCATTGTTTGGGTGCTGAACCAGGGTCTAACCAACTTGCTGAGCACTTACGATTGTTGAACAGGATCGATTGTTCGTCATCGCATCTGGACAATGCGGTCCAGAATTCCTTCACTTGTATGCCTGTTAAGCAGTGCACGGCACGTCTCGACGCGTACTTCGCGCTGGCGATCATTGAGTTCGTGGTGACTAATATTGTTTTGATGCTAACGTCAGAAGCTGCTGCTAATTCCGCCGTAGATTGTGTCTCATCAGCTTCCACAATCGCCTTGTCGACCAAAGTTTTCGGACGATCACGGGGTTCACATGGCCAGTACGGCAGAAGGGAAATTTCATAGGTACCTATTTTTAGACAGGACTCCCGTTTTTTTGTTTCTCGATAAAAATCGAACATAAGTTCATTTCTTTAAAAGTACAAGAATTGTTTGAAACATATATAATTGAAGACGAACATAACAAGATTAATAACAAAATAAAACGCATGTATCAAGAATGCATAGACTACATTAAAATTTGGATAAAACCCTTAAATTGCTTTGAATAGTTAGTTTTAAAGCAAGATCTACAATACTAGAACATCATAGACTGTGTTGTATTATTTAAAAATAAAGAGATAAATTGACGATGTAAAACTAATTATTTGAAGAATTTTGTCTAATAACAAATTTATTTTCATGACGAACTAGTTGTAAACCAGTGGGTAATTATTTTCAATACATGCAATAACAGCATTCGTTTCGGAACTACTGAAGATTTGTCAGACCTTATAATGCGAATATGGAAATACTTTTTTCGCTCCTGAATATGCAGTGGGCAAAAGAAATAGATTAACTGTTGGGTCAATAAAAGCAATATTGCTTTGCTCACACAATATAACTTCAAGCATTTGACATCTATCGAATTTGCTAGTGAAATATTTTATGAAATTTGTTAGTGGAGAAATGTATAATGTGCAAAAAAAAAAAAATAATAAAGTTAATAAAGAGGTTAATTGATATATTGAATTTTATTTATAGAATAAGACCGGTTTTTTTACATAAATCAGGATTTTTTTCTGCTTGTAGCAGGTTATACGATTTCAAGCCCTGGTGATCCTATGCGCTATCGATCAATTTTTCTATGGGGGGTGTATTACACCGGTATAACCGGTGTTCCATAAGTTCAGTTTTACGCATTTACATTTTAAATGACACCAAACAATGTTTGGATTCAAGTTTTTATTTCTTGTAAATATGTATGTTTAGCTTATTTGTATGTATGCATAGAATGTTTGGTGTTATTTATAAAATGTATGAAAAAAATAACTTTTTATAAAGTATTTTATCAGAAAAAGTATTTAAAAGATACTTAACAAAAGTATTTAAATACAAGATACAAAATCCTTCCTAAAAAGTATTTTAGATACAAGATGAAAATACGTATTTTGTATCTGTATTTCAAATACTTGTATCTAAGATAAGTCACATCTCTGTTTATACATTTGTTTATTTAAAAGTGATTTTGTGTAAACATACAAGCTTAATTATATATTTTGTGAATATTTTGAGCATCTACTTCTTGTCATTATTAATATTGAGCAATAAGTTTTTTTTTGTATGGGAGCTCCCTTAAATGTTTATTTTATTTTGTTTAACAATATTTATTGTTGTAGCGACAATGGAAATAAATAATGCCTGGTGAAAGACAGACATAAAGCTGACGGATGAACAGCGGAACTTAGTAATAGGGTCCCGCTTTACCCTTTGGGTATGGAACTTTAAAATAAATAAATGTTTAAATCAGTTTTGTGCTAAAATCTTAATTGTGGTTATAGTTTTATCTTAGTTAATTTTTATGGTATGAATGAATTATTTATTTGTTAATTATAAGTAATATTCATTGAAAAGTCAATTCATAATCAAGTGAAGTCATTTTTCAATTCTGTTACTATTTCATTTCTTATAGAGATGTCGCTCTGTATGAATTAAAACAGGGAGATATAAGATAAGTAGATTTAATAGATGGCGTGGATTTTCGACTATTACGGGTTTTAATTTGATTGTTTTTCTTGATACCTTAGTGATTATTGTACGATATTTGATCAATATTGCATTTACAATGCTATACTAGAAAATATTCTTAATAAAATATCTACTTTTGTCATTAGTACTCTGGGATGGGGTTATGGGATGGAACCTTAGTGGTTGTTAAATTCCGTTACAAAATTGTTTTGTTTGGTCGGTGATGAGCAAACGGAACCTCTCCTCTGAAAATCTCTAGTTGCATTTCAGGGTTACCAGTATTTCCCGGTGCTTAAAATCTTTTTGTTTCCCATAGCTCCTACTTCAGCAAGAATGGATTGACATACAATATGCTGCGAGTGCCTATAGGTGGAAGTGATTTCTCCACGCATCCTTACACCTACAATGAGCTACCCGCAGGTGACGTCGGTCTTACCAACTTCACTCTGTCATATGAAGATTTTAATTATAAGGTATGACTTTTGGATGGTATAAAATTTTTTGAAAAAATAAAACTGATTTTAAAGATGTTCATGAAACATGAAAAAAGAAACATATTCATGAAGATTCTATTGAAGTAGAATTTCAATAGTGATAGAAGATATTTTGTTCAATAGAATACATTTTTTATTGTTTTTAAAGATTTACAATAAAATTATGTTAAACAGATAAAAAAGAAACGCTAAATCCGTGCTCTTTTGTTTTCTTCGATCTTATAAACATGTCCTGAACACTCAGTTATTTACACTATAACATTATAAAGACCAAAGATGTGTTTGTTTGTCCAAAGATTTTTTTGGATTTGAAGTAGGCATATCCATTGAGCGTCGTCTGGTGCTCAGTTGCCATTCCAGAACCTATCCGCCCCAATAACCATCAGTTCTCCTACCCTTTTTTTTTTTGACGCTGAGAAATGCGTTACGCATACCCGCTTCACCCTGCACGGGCTCCACGGGTGATGTGGGACTCCTCCTGTGGCCCCATCCCCGAAGGGACTAGACAAGAAACAGAAGTTTACCCACTAAAACTCAGCGATGTCCCTCTCATGGAAGGCGATGCGCGTGATCGGCCCGGAGGCCATACACCGCGCGGTTCGCCCCCATTTAGGGCCGCCCTGAAAAGGGCAGGTCCCGATCAGTTCTCCTACCTAATGATAGCGTTGTATTCGACGCTACGTTTGAAGCTCTGTAGGAAGAATATTGACACAGATTTGGAAAACTGCATTTTGTTATTTCATTACTAGTAAATTCCTTAATATTATTCTAGATACCGATGATCAAAGAGATTATGAAATCAGCCGTGGAGCCGGTGCATGTATTGGCTACAACATGGTCACCACCCCTCTGGATGAAGACTGACCAGCAATATGGTGGAAAGAGCGAGTTGAAAGAGGAGTACTATCAGACCTACGCAGACTATCACATCAAGTAAGATCTTTGATTGAGCGTGGTAATATACTTTTAGCAACTTATACATGCTGAATTTATATGTCGTGGCTATATCGTAGTAGAATTGAATCAGTTCATGATCCGGACGGCCGTTTTATGACACGGGCACCTAATATTGATCATATATCGTTTAAGAACCAACGTTTAATGATATGGCAATCCATGTTTGGTTTTTTGCATTTCATGAAATGGCTGACCGCATCATATACTTTTTAATTCTACGATCTGGCCACGACATATACATATATAACTAGAAAGCTATGTGCAAATGCTTTGCATATAGACTCACTTTAAATTTTAATATTACGTTCGGTCACTATGTAATTGGTAGGTCTGCTCTGAGAAAATGAAATTTCACCATGTACCACCATAACAGTTATAACATAGATATGTATTGTGTTGGACTGCTTCAGCAAATGTGTGTACTCTGTTAAAAAATGTGTGAATGTGCGAAATTTGTGACTTAGACATTTAGATGTTATTGCTTATTTAGTTGTTCATCTATAGGTATAATTTGTCAGTGATTTTAGCGAGTTTTATATATAATTTATAAACGTGATTTTAAGTATTGTCTTTGTAATTTTTAGATTCATAAAGCAGTATGCGTCATATGGAATACCGATCTGGGGTATTACAACGACGAATGAACCCATAAATGGCATGATCGATTTTGTACAATTTAATAGTCTTGGTTGGTCTCCCTTGAAACAGGTAATTAAATATTACTTTAAACGGCAAAATATTTTGTCTGACATAGGGTACGTTTTGCCTCAAGCTGCAAGATCTGAAATTAGTAGGCTGAATAGGCAGCGGAAAGTTGACATGATCATCGAATTTAATTTTGCAAGAAGCTTTCCCAGGCAACGATGGGGGAGTGGTGTAAGAAAGTCATATTTTAACATATAGACTGCTCTGTTTTTATCAAAATACGATTTACTTTATGCCATCATAATAACATTTCTCTTCTAGTTACGGTTAACCTTGTTACGGTTATAGGAGTCATATTTACTCCTAAAGTTCTCTATATAATATCAATTTTAAATAAATTTACTCTGACGCTTAACCTAGTTTATTAATAGCACTGTGGAATTATAAAATTGTTAATCGACCAAAGTAAAGAAAAAAAATCATATTACTGAGCCTTTGATCTTTTTAGGGTAAATGGATAGCAGAAAACTTGGGTCCCTCAATAAGACGTTCCTCTTTCCCCAATGTAAAGATACTCGCTCTTGATGATCAGAGGTCTACTTTGCCTTGGTGGTTTAATGGGGTAAGTATTTTGATAACTCATCTGTCTGTTTGATAACTCTTTCTCACGTGTTATTCTGACTATCTATATTTTAGTTTATGTGCGTTAAGAAATAATTTTACTCGAGAAAATAATACCATTAGAGCCAACTGATTGATAAAACAGCCACTTTTGTTATAAAAATATTACCTTTGATGATATTTAATATTAAATTTGCAGTTGCTGAGCTTCGTTCCAGAAGCGTTGCAGTTCATAGATGGTGTTGCGCTTCACTTTTACTCAGACAAATTCATACCGGCTGACATACTCTCTTTGGTATATGATAAATATCCAGACAAGTTTCTTCTAGCTACGGAAGCTTGCGAAGGTAGTATACGTTTGAAAAAATAGAGATCTACACAGTACTTTTATTTTATAAACGTTATTTTAAGCTACTAGGGCTCTACCCTTCTTTTATAATCGAATCAAATAGGAAGAGGTCATAGTCTACAACGAGGAACCAAACGGGTGGCTGTTAACGACAACAGTTGCAGCTAAGACTAATGCTATAAGCGTCTTCTCCGAAGCACGGATGAACTGCAGATATTATTTTCTATGAGGTAGACTGTGTAGACCTCATTTGTCAACCGCTGTGCAAAAACAAATTTCTTCAAAAGCTGTTGATTTAGTAAATGAGAAGGATGGTGGACACATAGGACAGAATAGAGGTTTAAATGCTCTGGTTGGGAATATACCTTGCATATTTTTTAGAAGAACTGAATTATCATTGTTCGGCCTTCATGCGTTATTCTCAACTTCAGTCGGTGAAAATCTGATTTGCCATATCTTTAATCCTATCATTGTTTTGATATTAAACTTTTCTTCTTTCCTTGTACCACTACCAACTTTCATTTATGATATTATTAATTATCTTAAAGATTTGAACAGAAAATCCACATTACTAGTTATTCTGTATAATAATATGCATCTGATTCAACAAAGGGTTAAACATATTTTATTACGATCATATAATATAATATTGCTTTAGAATAAAGTTTATGTAAGTATTTGTCATCGTTAGTTAATTTCCGTTTTGAAAATAACTATTTAAAAGTGCAAGAAAAAAGTGGGTACTTTAAAATATTCAAACGCCATGCTACTTGTCATGAATGTGACAAGAATGTACATGTATAGAGATGTCGTTGTTACAAAAAGTTAACATCGATGCAATAACACCAATGTATTATGTCGTTTATACTTTTAAAAAATCGAATAGTTGTAATCGATTTAGGAAATTGAATAATAATCATTCAAAATCCATATTGATTTAAAATGTCATATCTCTAGTCGTGTACTTTGATGTCAAAACAACCGCGCCAAAAATTCCGGCATATAAACTGCTCGCTCGCAGTTGTTACCCATTTTCATCAATTATTATTGTTACAAAATTTAAATTTTTCGGTTCCGGGTATTTTTTACAGTTATATAGCGATGTAAATTATCATAAGAAATCATACTAAAAAAATGTACATATTCTCTATTATTTAATCCTTTTGCAGGGGTATCTGACAAGGATGGTCAATTTGTTTTACTTGGTTCTTGGGATAGAGCTGTGAGTTACATAACTGACATCATGGAAGTAAGTTTATTATGCTTGATTCGTTTAGTGATTTAGGATCTGAGCAAATATTTAACGGAATATCCATTATGCGTCTTACGGAATGGATTATCCGTTGAGTGTTGAATGTCCTATCATGTATTTGGCAGTTTTAATGCCCGCGTTTCCTGCCAGACGAACCGCATCTTCCGTCACATATGCACCGACCTTTAGAATTAATAAAAAGCCAAAGGCTATTTTAGGTCCGACATACCTAATATGATAAAGCACAGTGCAGAAAGTTTTGAGTATGTTCTTCGTTCTAGTTTTAATCAATTTTTCGATATTCTAGGATCTCAACCATAATGTGGTGGGATGGATAGACTGGAATCTATGCCTCAACTCGCAAGGAGGTCCGAACTGGGTGAACAACTTCGTAGACTCCGCCGTCATAGTGTTCCCGGAAAAAAAGGAGTTTGTGAAGCAGCCGATGTACTACGCACTTGGACACTTCTCCAAGTTCCTGCCGAGAGGATCACAAAGGATTAAAGTGACAGAAAAGTCCTTACCGAGATCACCCCCAGTACAAAATGTTGCTTTTTTGACCCCGCAGAATACTGTGGTCGTTGTTCTATATAATGAGTAAGTTTTCGGTTGAAGTATTTAATTAGAGTTAGCACAGATAACTTAAATATTCCATTTCGCAACAGACAAATTATTTGTTGATGCAACTTAAAAAACACAAGTCACCTACCTGCACAAGGTGAACCGAGATTTAATGACTGCTTTTCAAGCTATGTTTTATTTTAAATTTAATGACAATTTTAATGTGCAACTGGGTGTGCAACTTTGTTTAGAAGATGAAAAAAAATGCATAATTCCAACGCAATTACATATAATAGAATTCAAATCGATAACATCTTTTTCTAAGTGGCTTAAAATATATATGGTACAAAGAGGGGAAAAGATGTTGGCCGATCGTAAAGGCATATAAAGACACATTGTTTATCAGCGCTCAGCCAGAGCTACCCCACCATTTCACACTTTTGCAAATCAGCAGGCCAATTCCATTAAAGTTTACGTAATAATCACATTTTGAAAGAATCTCAACTACTTACATTTTACCGTTGTACTATCTGCCTGAAGTCCATAATATTTTAAATCTGTCACAATTGATGTGCGATGAAGATATTGCACTAACAATATTGGCCTTTAGGTTTTTATTACAATGGCAAAATGCAAATAGTGAAGATTCTATTGACATGCGAGTATTATCTAACGTTGGTTGAATTTACCTGCTGACAGCGGTTGGTAAAACGGATGTACGCGTTAGTTCACGATGGATCTTCCTCCAAATATGTCGCGAGTATTTGTCAGTTGTTAAGTTCCGCGACTGAAGAGACACGACGCATCTTCGGTCAGATACACACGCGCCACCAACCATTTTTAGATTCTCTGATGTTTTTTGCGCAATATGATTGAAGTTTTTATGATGTTGTTTCTTTTCAGGGGTGAAGCAACAAATGTGTCTATAAGACTGGGGTGGAAAAAGGCTTTCGTGCCGATGGAACCTAAATCAGTGGTCACAGTCGAGATTTCTTACAAATGATTAATAATTGTTAATAAAATTATTATTTACCTATTTATTTTTTATGTCGACCTTAACGAATTTAGAAGCAGAGCCCTATTCTGTATTGACGTAATTATAACGAGGCAATGGCGATTCAACAACAACATTGCAATAGCAATTATAATATTGGGCTACAGGTAAATAATGCAGTGGCAAATTGCAACAACTGCAACGCCATTGAAAATTGGGACTCTCGGCTCATTCAAAACTAATTTGTATATATTTTACTAGACAAATGTTATTATACTGTAAAAGATTATCTAAAGGACATAACATTATAATATAATCTGTATGATATGTAATTAAAAACCAATTCACGCTTATAATTGTCGTTTTTTCACTTGATTTAATTTTGCATTGTTTTATTTGACATTATGAATTCATGACATTGTTTTATCTAATTTGACTTTTTATGTAATATTTGTACGCCGAACTAGGTAGATTTTTGTTGAGATTTGACTTGGCTATAACACCTTTGCATATGTTGTATACCCAAAAATTTGACAAATAAATGAATTTGAATAAAAGAAAATACATAAATAAAGAATATTATATAATACATACAATATATAAATACATATAATATACACACGTAAAAAAAACAATGACTACAAAATAACGAATAAGAACATTGTGCTAGAAAGTGCTCCTTGAGTTTAGTTTTGAAAGATATGATAGAGGAAAAGTCTCGAATATTTAATGGAATTTTGTTCCATAATCTAACATCCCATACAGAAAAGGAGTTCAAGAGAAAGTTGGTGTTACTTTTAGGCAGTTCCAAAGTTTTGGTAACGCAGCACGGGAGAAAGCTTCTGGAAACGGAAATTTATCAACCTTTTCTGGGTTTTATAATAGGTAGAACTTGTAGATACTTCGAATAGAGCCGTTTGAGTGTTTCTTTATCGATTTATATTGAATTATATGATAAATTTTAGATGATAATAATAATGTTCTCAAAAAAGCATATCGTGTTACTCAAAATTTCTAATTACGAAAAATAAAATTATGTTAAAAATCGAATCGAAAACGGATCGAAACCGTACGAAACTATAGTTTTTAATGGTTTTTCTATTCTACTAAGTGATATACGATACAATTCCAGCTAAAATAGAACTGGAATGGTATCGTATGTGACTTTGTAGAATAGAAAAACCATTAAAACTGTAGTTTCGTTCGGTTTCGATCCGTTTTGATTCGATTTAAACAAAATCTATTTAGTAGAATTGGCTGTTTTTAACAGACGATTTAAATTTACATCAATAAAAGGTCTAAAAAACCTAAAAAAAGACCGACTTCAAACTTTAAACAGTGATGAATAATACTTATCACAAAAGCGACTTATTCAAGAATTTTAAGTCTTTCATCTACGGGAAGTAACATAATACGCGTTGGATACAGCGTGGGGAAACAGCTAGTTTGATAGAAATTGGTTCTCAATTCAAGAAGAAATCGATGAACCTATCCACTTTCATAAAAAAAAAAATATTCATACTCTTTGAACATAGAAGATCCTCCTTTCGGATTTTAAGTGAATTCAAAGTAAACAATCTCTTGTTTTTTAGCTGAAATAAACATATCATCTAAATATTTAGATGATATCTGGTGAAGAATGTATTTTGTTTTGTTATATAAGGACAAATATTTATTCGATATCGATAAAATAGAAATGGGACTACCTCAGTCCATCAAGCTGGCAAATGAGAAGAATATAGAAAAGCGGTCAACAATTGACGGATATATCGATGAACTTACACAAAAGAACGTATGTCGTCATGGAACATACAACCTCCTTCTTTATAGATTTCTGAAGTCACTTAAAAATGAAAACACACAAAAAATACATAATAAATGACCTATTTTGATGTCTAAACATAATAATATTACAGAGGAAAATTTAATTTGTTTGCATTGAATAGACTCCGAAGCAACAGCCCTGCGATTCCTTAAAAGTCCAAAACAGAATTCTAACTCACGCAGGTGTCCGAGTTCAGTTCAAAAAGCGGCATTTCATGATATAGAATATCCTAGACACGTATATTAAATCAATTTTGTTTTGTAATTTTATATGAAAAAATGGGATCAATACAATTTTTACACTAAATGACGTGTGTTCCTGAACGAAACACTGCGCAAGCGACAGCGGGGTTAGAAGACGGAAGATAACAATTAATAATCATCTAAAACCTAACGGACGCAACATATATTGTTTAATTTTTTAATTGTTAATTGGGAGAGCCACGCTTCGTCATGAATGAGCCGGCTCGACCGGAGTGATACCACGGCCTCACAGAAAACCGACGTGAAGCAACGCTTGCGATGTGTTTCGTCGTGTGAGTGAGAGTACCGGAGGTCCAACCCCTCCCTATTCCCTCTACCCCTCAACCATTCCCTCCCTATTATCATATTCGTCCCTCAAAGGCCGGCAGCGCGCTTGTAGCCCCTCTGGTGTACCACACCTGTATGTCCATGTGCGACGGTAGTCACTTACTATCAGGTGACCCGTTTGCTCGTCTGCCCCCTATCCCATAAAAAAAAAATATTACAAAATTATACATCTTGCATCGCCTATTTTATTCACGACTTCATCTTCAACATCTATTACAAGTACAACGACAAATAAGAATGTTGAAAGACGGCGCAAACAACGTGAATTCGAATTCGGGTCTGGATTTTTGCAGAATTGCAGGGCTGGACTGACTGAAAGCTACTACGTTTGTTATAGGCTAATTCACGCAGTCAAAGTCACGGAAAAACTGTTAGTGCGTCCTAGGAAGAACTGAGCGCAAATAAAACCTCGTCATAAACTGATCATAGTTTTGTACTCCGAAAACAGAAATAGCATTTACAAGGGAACTGTTATAAGATATACACCTTTTTCAAGAAAACATAACACTATAGCTATACATATAGTATATCGATAGCTCCAAATTTTAATGAAAATTACAAATTATAAATACATTATTTAATAAGAATTCTATTTCTGTTAATAACTTACAGCAAATCCATGCTTATACAAATATTTCAGAATAAATTCGCAAAAGTTAAATACATATTGTTTAAACTGTTCCAGTCGTTTGTCGGTACATCTGAATATTATAAAAGTATGTTGATTTGCGTTTATGTATATTCTGACTAATTGTAATAATTCAATACGCAATCGTCACATGATAATGTGCAGGTGTTAGGCTGAAAGGCTTTATAAGGCGGTGTATTTGAATTAATCGTGTTTTTCTTTAGTTCATTTCGATGGTCGGACTTGGACTTGGAACTAGTAGAATACATCGGAACGGAAAAATTTGGATAATTTATTTATATTTTACATATGAAATGTGTTTTTATACTTTTATATAATGTTGATCAATATAGTATTCTGTTTTTTTATATCTTTTGTGACATTGAGTTGTGGTAAGTATTATTTTATAAATAACTAATTGTTTTCCTGCGAGTTCACAAGCGTAAACTGAGGCCTAATAGCCGGTTTCTTAATTGAGAAAAGTGCAAAATCTTTTCTGATTTTTCTAAATAACATAAGATTTTTACGTTTCACAATTCAAAAAGTTCTAGTTTTAACAAACCGCTCTCGTTTTCATTAAAAAACTAAAATCAGAAACGAAATCTTCAGAAACCGGATGTATGATTGAATAATACCCACACGAGTAGGTATGTTGGACCTTTACATAGATGAAAGAATTCATTAAACCCAGAAGTTTCGGAGCTTATTCTATGTAAAGAAAGAAAAAAATCAAAAGTCTTTATAATGTTTCCCGCTATTTTATTTTTTTTATTTAAATTTTCTAAATTAACTGTTATGTAATAATATTACTTTTCATTATTTATTTATTTTCCTCCATAGGTTGCCCGGAAAATATTGCTATGTAGCAATAAGGCCGCCTTTTGTATACTGTTTTTTCTCATGCTGTGTAATTTGTTACTTGTCTTGTGTATGCAATAAAGTATAATATTATTATTACTTAAAAATACATTAATATCAAGAAGATACAAACAAACCTATAACGGAAAATCTTCATTCATTTATTTTAATATGAATATATGAATATATTTAAAATGAATGTAAACTTTGAAGATGTCTGTTATCAGGTAATAAATACATTATACCTATACCTAAATCATTAGGTAGCTTGCACAACTGCATGATGAAATAATATTATCAGTAACCTACAGACAAAGGCTGCCTTGTTTCTCAATAAAACAGTGCTATGTCTGCGTTGCGGAAATAAAATAACAACTGTCAGTGTTAGAATGGGTTGACCATAAATTTTATATCACGAGTTCCTTCGTGCTTCGGAAGGTACGTTAAGTCGTTGGTCCCGGCTGCATTTGCAGTCGTGAATACCTTCCAATCCGCATTGGGCCAGCGTGGAGTTACGTACATAAAAAGTTCTAGAACGGTTACCCTTTGCTTTCTTTCCATTGATCGTCCTAATGATGAGTTCCTCTTTCGTGAGGTACCTTGTTTGAGATCCTCGTTTCGACAAAATGAGAGAGTACTCGTTTTTCAACTTTTGAAAACCCCGACCTCATTTAGGTCCTCATCTTTTTGAGGTCTCGAGCACGAACGAGGTTACACATCAGACGATTAGAATGAAACGTTAAGTCGATACATAATCAACATATTAATAATGGTTAATTGAGGGAGTGGGTTTTATGAGTCTGATAGAACGACTCAATTTAACTTAGATTAGAATTTCCTCGCAACTAGTACCTTCTAACGTTATATTATAAATAAACCTATTGAGGTGAAGAAAAAAATTAATAACCAAAGGCGTAAGATAATAATTTTACAATAATCAACAAACATCTGTACCATAGACCACATTCATACGCTGCGACAGGTTATACAGAAGACCGAAGAGTATAATCTGCCACTATGCTTGGCGTTTGTGGATTATGAGAAAGCCTTCGATTCCGTCGAGACCTGGGCTGTCCTTAGGTCACTCCAGAGGTGCCAAATAGACTATCGATACATCCAAGTGCTGCAGTCACTGTATGAAAACGCCACCATGTCAGTTCGGCTCCAGGACCAAAACTCAAAAGCAATACGACTTCAGCGTGGAGTGAGACAGGGCGAAGTTATATCGCCGAAACTGTTCACTGCCGCACTGGAGGACGTGTTTAAGCTGGACTGGAGAGGACTAGGCATCAATATAAACGGCGAGTACATGACGCACCTTCGTTTCGCTGATGATATCGTAGTCATGGCTGAGACCATGGAAGATCTAGGCACAATGCTTGAAGACCTCTGTAGAGTTTCGCAGCAAGTGGGTCTTAAAATGAACATGGAGAAGACAAAAATAATGTCAAACTCCTATGTCGTACCCACTCCAGTGAATGTTGGAGGCTCTACACTGGAAACTGTCGACGAGTACGTTTACCTGGGACAAATAGTCCGATTAGGTAAGTCCAACTTCCAGAGAGAGGTAAATCGACGGATCCAACTCGGCTGGGCAGCGTTTGGAAAGCTACGCAGTGTATTCTCGGAACATCTACCGCAGTGTCTCAAGACGAAAGTCTTTAATTCGTGCGTGTTGCCAGTGATGACATACGGTACTGAGACGTGGCCGCATACGATGGGCTCATAAGGAAGCTCAAGGTCGCTCAGAGGGCAATGGAAAGGGCTATGCTCGGGGCTTCTTTGCGAGATCGAATCAGAAATGATGAGATCCGCAGAAGAACGACATAGCCCAAAGAATTGCGAACCTTTAGTGGCAGTGGGCAGGGCACATCGCTCGCAAGACTGACGGCCGTTGGGGCGGTAAGGTCCTGGAGTGGTGACCGTGTACCGGGAGACGCAGTGTTGGTAGGCTCCCCACAAGGTGGACCGACGATCTGGTGAAGGTCGCGGGAAGCCGCTGGATGCGGGAGGCGCAGGACCGATCGCTTTGGAGATCTTTGGGGGAGTCCTATGCCCAGCAGTGGGCGTCTCTCGGCTGAAGTGATGATGATGATGAGTGATGAATAATCTGTTACAATAAATTGTATTAAGCATGTGTATAGAACAAACTAATAGAATATTGTGAAAATAGTATGAATAGGTAGTAGGTAATGTAATTTGTCAGTCTTAAGCCTGAAAAAAATGTGAATGACAATCGATTCGATTTTAAATGTATTTTGAAACTTTTTTATATAAAAAATAAAAAGCTTTATTTTATTTTATCTTGATACGAGAATCAAATTTATTATAATAAAAAAAAAAACAGCCAATATCAAAGGTCAATGAAAAACAATAGACAATTTTTATATACCGTAAGTAGCTCGGTGGCGTAGTGGATAAGCGCCGCGGCCCGCGATCGTTGTCGTTAAGCAACTTTCGCAAGGGTCGGTCACGGGATGGGTGACCAAAAAAATTATTATCTCGAGCTACTTCGTGCTTCGGAAGGCACGTTAAGCCGTTGGTCCCGGCTGCATTTGCAGTCGTTAATACCCTCCAATCCGCATTGGGCCAGCGTGGAGGGTCACGGCCCATCCTCCTTAACCATTCATAAGGAAGGCCTGAGCCCCTGCAGTGGGGACGTAAAAGGGCTGGTGATGATATACCGTAAGTCTCTGCTCTTAAATCTATGTGAGAATCGATGATCTAATTGAAGCATTAATTGATTCAGATCTTTGCACTGATTGATTATTGAGAATTTGAGAAGCAAATCTTTAAAAAGATACGTTTTTCGCAGTACTAGTCGCGAGTTACTTTATGAGTTAAATCGAGTTTCTAACTCATCCACAATAAAAATATGTGAGTCACAATGACGGGTTCGGTGCTTAGAGAAACGAAAGGCCGACTAAGCCTGGTAACTTGTTTTTTTTTATTAGTGTTAATAAAAAAAACTGTAACAATAA